TAACTACTCATTTGATCGAACCCAAATGGAAATAGTTGAAGTTCAGTCACCCACTAACAAAGTCCCTCTTCATACAGGCTATGCCATAAAAATCTGGAAATTTTTAGTATACTTGTTTTGCATTTTTTAAATCCTTACTCTCATCTTTATATCTTACCGTTTTAGGAAGTCGGGAAAATGCATACGCTCTGCAGCGATAGTTAACGTATCTATCTGCAACTCAATATTTCATTAGAGATAGTATTGCATGCCAAAAGCAAAACAATCATTGTTTAATAAAAATTTACACAAAAGGCATCGCTTTGATCGCAAACAGTTAACTATTTAAGATGTTGAATTCACACAATTTTGAAAGTCCATTACGCAGGCCATCAGTAAGGTAGTCACTGAGACCATGATCTTCAACTGGCATTGTGAACATGTAAGTCGCATGAACGGATCTAATGAAGTCATTCTAAACCATAATGTCAGTACGTCCATTCTTGCAAAAAATATGCAAAACAACGTTAGTAATACTGATCAGTGCACAGAATGCAGTGATGCTAAGTGGCTTCAAAGAAGCAACCACCATCCATTACAAATTAAAGAAACTAACATTCTGCAACCATCACAATGGCTCCTAACAATATGCGAACAGGGATATCAATGACCTTGTGAGCTCTTGAAAAGAAAGTTTTGTGCCTTACGGAAAAATGATCAGAAATTTAATAACCCATTTCACTGAAATAGTTCTACTGTAATAGAATTTGACCAAAAAAAGTTGGATCAAAACTGAAGAGTCTTTTCAGAAACAGGAGTGGAGGAATCTTTGAACACTTACTTTGATTTGGTAGTATCGACTTGTTTGAACTACAGCAATTAAATATACAAAAGGCTTTTTTAAATGTGGGTCACATTCCTTCAGCAAATTACTCTGAGCGAGCTCTGCAAAGAGCCTACATCATAACCCATTGTGTTATTTTAAAGTGCGTCGTACAAAACATGGATTGGTAGGGTCATCTCTGCACCCCCCCCTACTACTTACTGTTATTTGAGTAGCACACAATT